TGGGAAAGCAAGGCTATGTGAACTTCAATGGAAACGTCAGCTCAACTCATATCATTGTGGGAAAATTCTTTTTCTATCAGACCTTCATCACCTTAAACGAAATAGGGTGAATACATTTCGTATTACTGATTTACTGGTAGTCACGAAAACAATACTTAATTCGAAAAATTAACATTTAATATGAGATGTTTTCACCCAATTTTGTTTAAGGTGATGAAGGACTGGTAGAATAATTTTCCCACAATGATATGAGTAGAGCTGACGTTTCCATTGAATTTCACATAGCTTTGCTCTCCAAAAAGTTGTGGGAAAATTCTTCTACCAGTCCTTCATCACCTTAAACGAAATTGAGTGAATACGTCTCACATTACTGATTTACTGGTAGTCTCGAAACAATACTTAAATGCGAAAAATAAATTAACATATAACTATATGCACACCATAGGTGGGGTATCCTTAGGCTTGGTTCAATTTCCTTAAGTTATATACTGTTGGTTACAGCGACTGGGCGACGTTGTGGGACATACCTAGTCCTGCGTCTTCTTTCATAGAGTTGATGATAATTTCCACCAGAGGACCGCTGACTTGGTACACTTCCAGAAGATGACAAAGATCCGCTGCTGAAAATTTCTATAAATACTGTGTGAGATGATGCAGGACTAGGTATGTTCCACAATCTCGTCCTGTCGCTTTGATCGAGTTGCGCAAACTCGATCAAATCAACACTAAGCAGTAAACTTTCAGATTTCAAATTTATCAGAGTAGCAACAATTATTGTGTGAATAACTTTATATAATACATCAATTTCAAAAAAATTTATTCAATCCTATTATGGATTTACATAGTAACAAGGATATTGCATTCGTCACAAGAAGGTTTAGTAAATAAAATTCAGTTATGTCCCACTCAGCACAATAACGACATAAGATTGAGAACTAACTGCCTTAATCTTTACAAATTCTCGATTAGAAATCAGTTGAGTTGAGTGTTGTGAAGAAGAGTTTATAGCTAACTGGCCTCAGGTGATTCTTGCTTGACTAATTCTTGCATCTAATTTTAATTGTGATCTATTCACAAGGATCTCTAGTTAAGAGCGGAGACATGTAAGCATCTAGATTTCATTGACCTCGAAAATTGGTATGGAAGACCAGATATGATTTGATCTTTCATATCTCTAGAATGTAGAAAAGTGTGTTGGAGTTACGTATCCAGGCGCCTAATTTCACATACCCTACTGCCACTCCATGCAAATGGCCGTGTTTTCTGTTTTTCAACCATGATATTGGATCTTGCAATGATCGCCATGCCTAGAGGGCAGACAGAGGAACGGTTGAAAAAACTTGAAAGCCTGGGGCATTCAGTTCTGTCCACATTTTCTGGTAGACTTATATTTATCCGCCAAGCCCTGCCAGCCAATCAACCAATTCTGTAAATTGACCAGCCGCCTCCTAATAACATTCTGTCAGGTACTTAGCACACGTCTTATCCCCATGTCCCAACTCTCCCTCTTCTCCCTCTTCTCCCCCAGAGGTGATCATGCAGTTATACAGAGTGCACTTGAGATTTACAGAAAAAGCCTGAAGTTTGTCAAACAGCAACAGTACCACCATCGGTTCCAGCCAAATGTGCTGGGCCAATTAAGCTTCACTACCTCTTTGCCCTCGCCTCCATCCCTCAACAAGCCCTCAACTCATCCCAACCTAATTGGTCTCAGAATACACCAGTCTTGCCCTAGACTGGATTGGTTCGTCAGTTTTCTGTACGCACCGGCCTACCGCCGTGGCTTCGGCCCTGGTCCGGCCAAGTGGCCTTCTCCTCTCCCTTGCAGGAGTATAAACATGTGCCGGCGTAGACCAGAGGTAAAAAAGAACCCGGTCTACTGGTACCTCTTTGTTGGGATGGCTGAGGTGACACTGTGGTAGTCAGGACTCGGGTGGAGGGGTAGAGGCAAGAGTCTGTAACAGAAGGACCGAAGTGACGGAGTTCTGCCCTGGACAGCAACGGACTGATTGTACAGTTGTGCGATTAGAGCTTTTACTCTGCTTTTCAACACGCCAAATCTCGGCCTTTCTTGTCCTCCCCTTTGCCCGGCCCTCGGCAAAAGCCTGCCTACCACTTAAGACCGGACCAGGGTGTCTATCTTTTGTAGACTTTCTTTTCGGCACCGCTCCCATTGAAGTCCTTAAAACAATAAAAGAAGCGTTTCGCGTCTACGGAAGAGACGGCTGTCTTTTGTCTTCTCCACTCTACTCCAATCTGCCATCCTCAGTAAAGAGGCGTTTTTCCATGTCACTTCACTCCCCACTCATAGCTTATCCTCTCGGTTATTCAATCTCTGAGGGTGATTTCTTGTCAAACCCACTCACCATTCATTCATTTCCCTCCTGTCGGCCTACTTTGCCCTATTTTGCGATTCTTCTGCTAATCTGGCCTAATCGAACCCTGTAGCAATGACATGTTTGTATGCCAAACCTGAAGTTTTTGCCTCCTCTTCACTTCAACTTAATAGAAGTGGTTCATGTTGCTATGGTGATCCAGAGGAGTGAACCTTGTTCAGAAGCCATGGTATCCATGATAGTTTACAGCGTCGGACAGTGGACTTGGTACATTCCCAGACGTTTCGCCGGCATCGTAGTCGGCATCCTCAATGAGCCTTGTCCTTCTTAGTACCATATTACAACTCGTTAGAGACAAATCAAGTCGATCCCTTGACCAGCTGTGCTGAACGGTTATGATATCTCTTCTTCTGTCCCGGTACATTCATTTATTCTTTAACCTCGTATATATATATATATATAACCTAGTTTAAGTGTGCCCTTTTGAGTGGATTTAGTGAGACCTATTCACACTCACCGGTGGTCAAACTATCTTGGTCTTTACACCCTCAACTTAATAAAATTAAAAAGGAGCTTAGGTTGCTTGCAATTCCTGCTCAACTGATTTTGGCACGAATTCACCATTCGTCTGGCAATGATCGCCCAGACTAGTAGATGGCTCCGAGTCGCAGCTTTGCATTTGGGGGCGCCTTTGGTACTGAGAAGTG